ATATAATATTGCAGTATCATCTGCAAAACTAGTTATTTTGCCAACACAATTAATTTGGAAAATATCATTTAAATATATATTGAATAACAGCGGACCTAAGACAGTTCCTTGTGGGACATCACACTTAATATACATTTCTTTACCAAATGGTCCTGATATCTGCACAGATTGTGGGCGATTTGACAAATAATTTTCGATCAGTGAGTACGCGTTTCCTCTAAAACCAATTCTCTCCAATGTTTCTAATAATAATTTGTGATTAACTGTGTCGAAAGCTGTCTTTAAATCAACAAAAATGCAGATTGAAGGGATTCTGTTATCAATATTTTGATGTATTTGATTCACAATTTTAGTTACTGCGTCCGATGTAGCCTTCCCTTCTGTAAATCCAAATTGATTTTCACTTAAAATTTTGAACTTTGTGAGGTATCGAATCATTCTAGTAGATAAAGCTTTTTCAAAAACCTTTGCTACACTGAATATTATTGATATTGGTCTATAGTTGTTAACATCTGTTTTTGTTCCTGATTTATGTATCGGTATTATATTACCCTTTTTTAAAATTGAGGGATATATGTCAGATTCAAAGCATTTGTTGATTAGGTAAGTGAGTGGTTCTGTTATGTTCTCGGCTATAATTTTCAAATGCTCGCTTTTAATACCATCGAACCCAGGACTTTTCCGATTTTTTAAGGACATAACAGTGGTGTATACTTCACATTGCTCGACTTTATCCAAAATAAATGAGTTCAAAGTTCTTTTTGGAGGCTGAGTATTTTGTACATTTGCTTGTATATTACTTGCTAAATTTTCGCCTATGTCAGTAAAGAATTGTACAAATTCATCGCAAATCTGTTGAGTATTTTTTAATACTGTTCCCGATGTTATATTTAACTCAGTGACACACTCTTTAAATTTTGTTTTCCCAGTAATCTCATCAATAGTTGTCCAAAGCCGCTTAGGATCATTTAACTTATTATTCAATTTATTTAGGTAATGTTGTCGTTTGGTTTGCCTTGCAAGCTCTATAAATTTATTTTTATATAGGTTGTAGCAGTCGGGATTCTCTGTAGTTGGCGTTAGTTTCATTACATTATATAGTCTTTCTTTTTATATTGCCGATGTTATTAATCCTTTGGTAATCCAGGCATTTCTGCTTTTCTCTTTGTGACTAATTATTACTTTATTGGTACTAATATCTATTAGTTTTTTTATTTTCTCTATGAACAGTCCCGTTGCTTTGTCTATACTATTTATAGAGTATAATTGTTCCCAGGATTCTTGTTTGACATTTGATATTAGCTTTGAATTGTCGACAAAAAATTTGTAATTTTCCTGGTTGTTATTGCCTAATATGTATATAGAATTACTTGGATTGGAGGCGTATAAATATACCAACATCAAAGAATTGAGATACATCTTCCCCCACCCTCTGCGAACTTTGGCCTCCAATTTTTAAACCCTTGAAACATTTTTCTGAAAATGATCAAGATCGCCTGAAAAATCAAAGACCAAGGCTTGAGCCACTTTAATTTTTATGATTTTGGCCTGTTTCTCTACCGCTCCGCCACTATTAGACCGATTTCCAAAAGCTATAAAGCTTTTGCGTCCATGGCCTGGTAGTAGCATTGGGTAAAAATTCAATCGAACTTCGAGTGGTACTTTTCAAGTTATGAGCAGTTATAAGATTAGCGGACAAACAGACCCACGGCAATGAGAGACAAGGTTTTTCGTGATGTAACATGCCATATAACATTGAAAAGACACATTTCATTTTCGAAAATTTTCGTGATTACAACAGAATACAATAGAAGTAAAAATTCATGTCATGGGGTGCAAATACAATGCGAATTGCTTACCCAATAAAATGTAGTGTATGGAAAATTGCTTCGAACAAATGCTTGTTGCGAAAAAGAGACACAATTTTCAAAAAAGATGGATTCGCTAGTCTGTGTGGTGTATCGCTGTACCGCCTTATAGCCACACGGTACTCATTGGTGCTTATGCCTAAGACCTCTCGTGGTGGTTAGTATAAGCAAACCAAAGACCACAGGCAAAATTAATATTTTTGAAAAATAGGGTCCTGTTAGCGGAGTAAGCAAAAATGTACAAGAATCAGGTTATTCCCATACGTCTTTCGTTTTGCTTAGCATTTTTTATTTGATTTAGTTTAAAAATTGCTGTAAGACTTCGAAATACTTGGCAAGGAGGTTTATGAAATCACAGTGTCTGACGGGCGCTTGGTAGTAGTTCATCCGATTTCGTTATTACGTGTAACTGTTCGGTTTACAGTTGATGGGCAGCTTTACCTTCGACTCTAGTGCTAGTAACACCTTAAAGAATCCATGCGTTCACATTAAGTGACGTAAAAGCTGTAGAAGCAAACACGTATCTCATGAGATCCTCAGATTGAGCGGTAGACGTAGGCGGTTTCAGTATGGATCACAGTGGAAATAAATATTATACGGGTCAACCGTTGTGACCATCTCACTCCGTCACTGCCTTCGCGTGCTCAGATTTACTTTCACTTTCCGGGATCTTTCGCGCATTATTTTTCCATTCTCTTCCACTGAAGCGGCTTTGTCTCGTAAATATCAGCGAACTGTACTTCTGAATCTACTGCTTTAAGATGAATGACTGGCTGAAAAGTGCCACTTAACGTTTATAAGGTATGGAGCTCAACTCTGAATAGCTATGAAAGTCTCTATGGTGCACACTGAAAAGTATAACAGTTCGAGCGATGAAGAATCAACTTGCAATCCAATTACCTTATAAATTTCGTATACTGCCAGAACAACACAACAGTTTATTTTGAAATTTGTTGTGCTAAATCTTATTCAATAATATAATTACTGCCCTACGTACAGCACATATGCAACAAAACGTACTGTATTAAGCAAAAACTGAATTTGTGTTTAACCAACAGTCATCTGGGCGCTGTAACTAGATTTCCAAGAAATGAATACTGAGGAGTCTTTGAAAAGGCTAATGAAAATTACGGAAGAGATCAATAGAAGGATAATGGAAGAAGCAAATGCAAAACAGAATCTTCTGCAATCAAAGAATACATAAAAAGCGGTGTTGAATTACTAAACGATAAACCAAAAAACTAAAATTAAATAGAAATATAATGAACAGGTGATCAGTTTCATACTTTTTGGTTTGAAAGCTCCAAGTGATTGTAAGTTGCTTAGCATTGTTATTGACAAAACTAACAGCCTACTTGAGTTATCGTTGCTCCCCAGCGATGTCAAAACCCAACTAACAATTATCACTCCTATTAGAGTTGCAAGAATGATCATACAGTATTCCTTACACAGCTTTGTATACTGTAAGAACATTGGCAAAACCCTCTTAGAACACCTATACAAGCGGAATGGGCACACCTAATAGGACACTTCAGACATTTAAGAGGTTGTATAAGGGCTGCAGGTAACAGTTATACAACAAAAGTGTAAGCCTCTTGCAGCCGCTGTAGGACATTTGCGTCAGTGCAAGATTCAGTTTTTGTCAACTCTACAACTATTCTGTTACGTGATTCTACTTCATTGCAGCCAGACTATTTCTTATGTATTGTATAGACGAAGTGAAGAATATATAACTAACACATTACAGTCATCTTGTTTACTTACGTATAGGCCATTGTGATTTTCATACACAGGTATATGATAAACTTCTACACTGTAATATAGGGCTATTGAATTACTTGCGCAACAAATTTGATTGTGATTATCGTGCAAAGTAGTTACGCAATTTCTACGGGCTTCGTATTTGATTCATATCTTGATATTGATCAAAAGTATGTCTAGATTTTTAAGATGGAAAACTGAACTGATCTGCGTTAAATCTTCCACAAATCCCATACTTAGACACAATTACACTAATGTTTATCACTTTATATCTGTAACTTCGAACTGAAACATAATTATTTAATATTAAATAGAGGAATACATGTTTGCCCAATATGGCGGGTGGTTGTGTATAATCATGGCATCGTCCATGTTGTCTTTAGTTTATTAGAATATTTTGGTGTTGCCTGCAGGTGTTATACAACAATTTGACAAATGTCTGAAATGAAATACCGACAGAGTCGAATGATTTACCCAGAATTTGTACCAGATCTATCTCTTCTGTTTGAACAGTTGATAAAACCTTTAGAACCAATATTCATGCGCTGTTTGTCTTAAAACATTGGTTATGGCATTTTAACAAAAATATAACGGCAGAAAGTTAGGTTATGGTGAAGTTATATACCAACATATTAGCATATGTACAGCCTTTAACAGTTACTAAACAACAGTTGTATAAGTGCTTCCGTTGGGAGCAATTTGTTGGCTAAAGTAGTAAATTGCACAGCAAAACAACAAGGCTCCGGTTTGTTTTATAAACGTTACCATAGATGCCACACCACAACCATTTTTACTAACGTGCAAATATGCCGTATAAAATAGTTGTATAAACGTTTATGCAACAGTTAAAAATTTTCCCTATAAGGTGTTGTATACCTATGCTATAAGAATATTTTAAACACCTCATTTTAGAGCAAATATGTTGCAGAAAGCAAATTTGCATTCCACACAACATTAAGCCAGCATTTTGGCGTTCAGGCAACAACAATAGTGAGCTTTTATGGCTGAACGGTTCTTTTACCGAAAGCTTATAACACTACTTTGCTAGTTGAGCAATATTTATACCATAGGGAAGCAATCCAGCAACAAACCAATAATCATGAAGCTCGCATCATACCTAAAGAAAGAAGTAATCTTTAGGAACTGTAAAAAACTGAAAGGTACAGACATCGCTATTAGTGTTGAATTCACGCTTGAAGAGCAAAGGTAACAAAGAAATTTGCGAAAGCAACTTAAGAAAGCAGGAAAAAAATCAAAATGCATTAAAAAAAAATCTGTTCATTAACGGCACAGAATTTACAGCCCAAGAACTGATTGTTGATGAAGAAAGGACAGACGAGGAGGAAGAAAATGTTACAGGCCTTGAAGTAGGATCTACTGAACGTCAGAAAGCTGGTTAATACACTACGTGAAGCTGCCGAAAATCAAGCCAATGGTAAAGAGGAACAGGATGTCTTCATAACAGAAATAGTAGAGAATACAGGCAAAAGGAAGATAACTCAATGCGCAGAGCCAGCCACTAAGAAGTTGAGACTTTGGATCAACAGTAAACCTGCATCGAACATAAATAGAGACTCCAAGCTAAACTGAGAGAGTGTATGGATAAAATCGAATCGAGTGTTTTTGATGGTGCTGTCTGAATGTTCTATCATATTAATTATTTCCTTGTACGCCTGTTACTTTTTAACTTCACGTGGTACATTATATTATAGCTGCTGTATATTTGCTAATTGCCTAACGTAATGTCCCTCATCCTTTGTCCTCTAAATATCAGATATCTCATAGCCACATACGCCTACTTTAGAGATGGATTTTTGAACAAGTGTCTGAAACCTTGTTGAATAACAATATACCTGATGATACTATCAGTCTCGAAGTGTATACACTGTATAGAGCCAATCGTCACCACAAGAGAGATGGAGGTATAGCTTATATGTAAAAAATCACCTTAAAAGCAAAGTTATAAATAATATTGAGTCTCATGATTCCGAGCAACCATGGTACACTATAAATTCTAGCCAGAAAAATATTGCTGTAGGATCTTTATACCCACCCCCAAATAATTATCCCGTGAACGAATTTATAGACAATTTGGAGATAACATTGTCCACACTTGCTCCTAATCATGATTACATCTTATGTGCAGGAGAGCTAGACATCATTCTTTTGGATGACAATTTCTGTAGTAGACAGCTACTAAACTTGGTACGTTTTGAATCTGAAGCAGATAGTTGAACAACCCACTAGATGTAAACCTAAGTCCTGAAGATTGCTGGATGTTATTATCTGCACAGACGAATTAAACATTTCGGCTACCGATATATCGGTACACTCTCGAAGAATACTTTTGCACATTTTCTTTATACATATAGAAAATTTAAACATTTTTAATAGTGAGCTTTTTACTGATCACCTGAGTAATGTTGACTTGAGTACAATGTAAGGTTATAGATATGAAGGTGAGTGAACTACTGTTAAATATTTTTGATTTCTATGCTCCTATCTATACAGACTGCATACCCAGAGAAAGGTCACTTTGGCATACGTAGAATTTCAAACAAATTATAAAACTGAGGGATAAGATGCCCAGAAAGTATCATCTTACAAAGAATCTCGACGTACATCACAGGGATCTGTTTTAGGGCCATTCTTGTACAGTCTACCCACTTCTCAGATGCACAAAAGTTTTAAACACGTCTCATACCACTATTACGCTGATGACACTTAATTATATATTGCTTTTAAAGACTCTGAAATGAACTGAAGTTTAATTAACATACATGAGGTCCTTCAGGATGTTTATCAATTAACAAAAAAATAAAATACACGGTTTTATAACTCACTGAACTAAAAAGTAGAACAATTTTTAATTACAAGGAGCTTATATAGCAGTAGTAGACGGTCGAACAATAGATCATAATTAATGACCTCAACATAAAATTATAATAAAATTTATGTTATTAACAGAATAACAACAAGATTAACGTGGTTCGAAACAAATGGCATTTCCTGTCAAAATAACAGTTAAATTAAGTCAAAGTGTTTTTAAGTTTTTCGAACTTTTATTTAATATGAATCGGTTACAGGCTATTTTCCGAGAAACCTCCACCACTTGATGAGAATACCAAAGTTAGTAATTGCAAAGCAATGAACAGGTAGGCTCAGGAGTATCGCTTAAGCAAGTTGATTAGAAGTCAGTAACTCATCTTCGATTACGTACAATTGTCTAGATTGTGTACATGAATGACAATAGCATCTGTCTATACGTAGACAATGGTGCATTTCACATGACCTGGAGAACGGTTTCATCGCTGGTAGCGGTCCGCTTTTTGATTTGTGATGTCGAATATCTGAAGTATAACCTTGCCAGGATTTTTTCAGGAAGGGTTTTCTCATGCTTTCTATAGAATCATCAGTTATTACTTTTGTTAAGCCTTTATTTTTGTCAGAGAAATTAAGCATAGCAAGAAACTTTATGTTCAAGTGTGTCGTTGACATTGACTATTGCCATCAACGTGAACTGGAGATCAAATTATTTTTTAATGCCGAACATCCATTTTTAATTCCTAAAACGGAACATTGAAATTAATCAATTAATATTAGATAAAGAGTCTGTATTGCCAAAGTATGTAACTATTGTATTACTTTGAATATAACATTTCTTTGTCCGAGAAAAATTGTTCCAACGACATAATGCTACTTCTACGCAAGCAGAGTTGTAGTCTTAGGGCCATATCGTCAGTCGTTCCTTTGTGGCCTTCTTGATTTTCTACCGTCCTGTGACAACGCTCTATTTTGAAGTTATGTCACAAATGTCTATTTCCATCAAATTGTTCATGCTTTTGACTTATATCATCCGTTTCGTCGCCCTGAAATTTCCTGCAATTCAAAGGGAAAGCGACTTCACAAAAGGCGTCCTACAATTATTGTAGAATCGACTGACGATACGGTCCTAAATCTAGTCGAATTATGAATTTCAAATCTTTATTCGCGCTGTTCAATTTTACGACCTTTTAAAGGTATGCCATTCTTTGAGGCCTATGTGCATGCTGTTTACTTTTTCTGCAAAACCTAACCATAATTATTTTGTATTGATATCAAGAAAAAGCTAAAATGTATTCATGCGCAATTTCAAGAAGTTGAGCATAAAGAGGAAAATAGTATATCTAAGCAGCCGAAACACTTGAAGCATTGAAATTCTGAACAAAAATCATTAAAATAGCTTCCCCAATTGCTCATAAATGTTGTTGGTTCACATACTGTTGTACCTCGGTGTCGCATATCAGAGATCCTGTACACCGATGCTTTAACGTCAGATATACCTACAGCATTGATTTCCTTATTACTACAATGCCTCATCGGACGTTGGGATGTTAACACTGTTGCATGTCGGGATCGTATTACAATATTTTGTTACGTGAATATGACCGCACCTTTACTAATCACCGGTGTCCGGTGTCTAACCACTGATAATCGGAGCTGCGACCGCTCGCTCAGCTGCAACACATCGTGGAAGAAGCTGTATAAACAAATATGCTCCAAGTACCAGGAAAGCGATGATATAATATGGAGTTCAACATTTCCCGGAAAGAATCCTTGAGTACGTTAGGCAAGTTAGTTCCAAGCTGTGTAATCCGATGAATATGTATGAACTAGAAGTTTACAGACTGTACCAGCTTAAATCCATCTTAAAGCTTGGAACAAGGCTGCGTGTCATTTACCATTCTTCGGTTTAAATGTGTGTATAGCCAGAAGCTATAATATGCGTATTCGGACATCTCAAGTTAGAAGAGGCAATGATAGGAGGCATATAGGTTAATAATAATTCTGCTTCATGCACGAACCTACCACTATCATGGTTATACCTGAGGTTATACTAGTTACCGGTAATCCAGCTTGAATGCTTGGAACATTGGCTCCTTCTGTTGTTATGACTGAATAATAATAAATGCAGTAACATAGAGAAGACAAAAACTAAAGACGACGCATACCGATACTCTCTTTCAGCATTTTTGGATAATACGTTTCGCTTTCGGAAATAACTAATTATAATTTAATAATAAGAAGTTCTGGAAGAACTTTCTCCTAGAAACTCGGGTAAATAGGTCCTGCTAACCGTTCCGGTAGAAGATATGGCCCAATCAAACAATCATCAACAATGCCTGCCCATACGTTGACAGACCAACGTTCCTGATGTTTTCTAGGAAAAATTGCATGGGGATTTTCTTTGTGCCAAACGTGGCTATTCCTACTATTAAAAATAGCGTCTCTTGTGAAAGAGGCTTCATCGGTCCATAAAATGCGTCAAAAATTTTGTTGTGCAGCCATTTGATGAAGAAACCGTTTACAAAATTGAACTCCAGGATGATAATTGGCTGCAGTCAATCCTTGAACTTTCTGGAAGTGGTAAGGATACAGTTGTTGCTCGTGTAGCACCCGCCAGACGGTGATGATCGTATTATTCATATCCTCAGCAATGTGACATGTGCTACTTGATGGTTCGTCGGCAACTCGCTGAAGGACCTCTTCTTCAAATTCGACCGTTCTTACGGTTCGAGCAACACCAGTAGCATGCATGCTGGTTTTAAACATGCCTCTCTCGGAGAGCCGCCGATGAAAAGCAATAAACTTTTTGTATCCCGGATGCTGTCGTTCGGGATAACGATCTTGATACAACCGCGCTGCTGCTCGTGCATTGCAGCTTCTTGCTCCGTATGCCAAATGCATATCCGCCAATTCTTTTTTGGTAAAGTTTTCCATTGGCAACAATTCATTTTTGTTAAATTCTTGGAAACCTCTACAAAAAGCAATCTCTGTTATCGTCTTTAAAGATAACAACACACAAGCGCCGAAGATGGGTCCCTATACTCAAATGTTGTCTACTGTGAATAACCCCTACAAGTTTGATCCCATAGTTCTGAAACATCCTGTAGAAGTTTCTTGAGTTATGATGTGATGCGTTAATTTAATATCTACGTCCAAATAATAGTTTTAATTCGAGCGTATACATTTTTGAATTATGAATTGTGTCGAATCTGCTTAGGATCGGATCAGACCTGACGGCGCTCCGTTTTAGATCGAAACGAAAAGTCAGGATCGCCACAAATTCTGGAACTTCGCTTCATTGGTTCGCTTGGCAACACCGTGTCTCGTACATTTCAGGGCAAGGTTTCCACCTATATCACAGATGAGCAATTTTGGTCAGTACCTATCTATCGCTCATTGGGGAGTGTCGTCCTTCTTTGAGATGATTTTCACCTGCGTACACGCAGGCAGTGATATTGCGTAATGGTATATGTTACATTTTGCGACAGCGAGCGATCAAAAGAATATCTCAAATCGAAGATGATTCTAAAATAACTTAAAACACTAAGTCGCATCAAGATTGAAATAATTAATTCTATTCAAAATGAAAACAAAATATAAAATATTATAGTCAAATACCAGAATTGATGACAGTAGCAGATATAATATTAAATTCCATGTTCGAACAGACCTCCTTCTTGAGTGTGACAGTAACCTAATCTATTGAAGAAGCCTGTGCGAACATCTTCTGGTGTAGCATATTGGCGACGCGGCAGATTGCACGA